GCGTGGAATTGTCCCTGTATTGAGAATTTAAACATGTAAAATACTGCTTAATTTACTGTACTCCTTTTCTTGTTTGCAAACTTTCACATACGGAAGAATATCCTAAAAAATAATAATTTCCGAGCAGCAGTCAGATTTTCTTGCCAAAAGATGTTGTACGAGACAAATTGCCCTCAGGGACAATAAAGACCTTCTCTGTCATAGGTGCTGACTTGAGCAGAAACATTATTTTTCGGGGACGCCCAACCATATCGCGGTCCACACTGTAAAATAGCTGATATGAGATGTATGGCTAAGATTTACGTCAGAATCTATCCTCCAGCTGAATGTGCTGTGTGAGGAGCCAGCTGGGAGGCTAAGTGTCACAATCAGGCTTTGCCTTGGGTGTTTTGTGTGTGGTTTTCTGTAGCTCCTCACTTCCTTCACCTGTCCCTAATCAGTTCGTTCAGTGCACCTGTCAGTCACACTCTCCCTCATCAGCACAACTCTCCTCACCTGTTCTAGTCACTATTTAAACCCCTGTCTTTCACTCACTCACTGCCAGATCATTGTTTTGTTTTGTTTTCTACCTACCCGCCCGTTTTGCTCGTCCGGTTTTTCAGCCTGCCTGTTCTGCCTTGTCCAGCCGGATTTTCCCCCTCGTTTCTTGTCCTTGGATTCCCGTGTGTTTTTGGTTTGTCCATTAAACCCTTTTTCTCTTCACCTGACTGTCTGCATTTGAGTCCTCATTATGTCCCATGACACTAATGAGGTCCTTCGACCTCATTATTCTCATTTGCTCTGACATGCACTGTGAGCTGTAAGGTCTTATATAGACAGGTGTGTGCCTTTCCTAATCAAGTCCAATCAGTTTAATTAAGCACAGCTGGACTCCAATGAAGGAGTACAACCATCTCAAGGAGGATCAGAAGAAATGGACAGCATGTGAGTTAAATATGAGTGTCACAGCAAAGGGTCTGAATACTTATGACCATGTGATATTTCAGTTTTTCTTTTTTAATAAATTTGTAAAGATTTCTACATTTCTGTTTTTTCTGTCAAGATGGGGTGCTGAGTGTACATTAATGAGAAATAAAATGAACTTTTTTGGGCAGCATATAAAAAGGTTTTTGGAAACTTGAAAGGTAAGTAAAGAATATAAAACTGGGATGTGAGGATGAATCAAACTTGTGATGAACTGTGACTCGCCCACTTATTACACAGGGAATGTACATATCCAAGAAAGGTCGTAGTTGAATGCAGAAGAACATGATTTGGGATTCAATTAGCTGTTAAGGTGAAACATTGCAAGAATAAACGGATGTTTTTTTCTTATCGACATTGGCTGGAAGACCCTTTTGCCACATTTTCTCCTCCATAATGTCGTGAAGAGTCATAGTTTAGATTACACTGTGAACTCAATATGCACATTTTCTACCACACATACATTTACTACTCCTAGACTAAAGCATTGTGTGAACTTCAGAAATTGCAATCTTAAACTTTCAAAACCCTGCATCCTGCAGCAATGACGACTCAAAGCAAAGTCGTAACGGAAAAAACCTGAATCCTGTTCTGGTGCTCTGCTGATTCCCTTAGAGGACCACTGGCTCAGTCTGATGAGGGTTTTCTCCCTGGCCCAAAAACAAGACCAAGAAGTGGACCATGAGGGTCGACCTGTGCGACCACGAAGATGCTACTACTGTTGCCGAGTACAGAAACTTCAGGTTGGGCAGTGCAAAAGCAGCTTTCAAACTGCATGTCAGGAAATACAGAGGAGATGCAGATATTGCAGGCCTTTCGAATCTGGTCAATGCCTATCCAGGCATTGACCAGATTGGCTTCAGCACCGTCGACCGCGGCAGCGACGGCTGCTCCCCATGCATCGTTGGTGACATTGCTCAAATGGATTGTACCTCTTCAGACGGTGGCGGTTGGTGGTACAGCCGCTGCGGCTCTGAACGGAGGCTGGCATCCTAGTGGTGAACACGTCGATTGGGCTTCAGGCCTCTACTGGCAAACCTAGAAAACTCATGCGCCTTACTCCCTGACGGCCACCAGAAGGATGATCAAGTCTGCGTGAGAGGACCCAACCCACATTTAACTTCATACTGGCTTTTCTAGTCCCACATCAAGGCTGGTATTACATTTAAGCAAAATGACTCTTTTATATGTGAAAAACAGTTCACTTTTTAAGATACTGGGCCTACTGTTCACATTTCTAGGATATATAGTATATGGTACATATATATTCATTAAAGATATTTGTTTGCAGAACCCTTGATTTGTCTATTTCTTTTAAATTCCTAATAGAAAATCACACAAATTGATTAACAATGAGTAGCTACACTTTATTACTACATGAGGACTTTTCTGTAAACAATGTGTGGCATCAATACCCTTATAAACTTAATATCAAAAGTTGACATCATGTAAATATTAATGTTACATTATGAAAATAATCTTGTTTTCTGTTCTTTTGAGCCATAAAACACATTAATTTTTCTTGAGGGAGACTTTTATTAATATATGGCTGTTAAGGTAAGGGTATAGATTATTGTTAAGGCGTTTATTATACATTTCCAAAAACAAGGGAATCACTCTGCTGGATAACAACAGTATCTGGAGTATATGTTATAGTGAGCCAGATATACAGGTTTTGTTAAAGTAACGGTCAGAAAGAATTTAAAGTTGGCTGTACTCAGAAAGCAAAGCAAAAATAGATATACAGTGTTAATTAGTGGGCTTAAGAAGTGCTGGAAGATGGATTTTGTTACCTTTCAACATAGCTAGGCTAGCTGATACCTTTCAACATAGCTAGGCTAGCTGTTACCTTGCACAGCACCTGGATTATTGTGATGTCACGGGAGAGTTGGAATAATGCAGAACTTGGTGGAAACACAGAGATAACATGTAAACTCAATGTGTGCTTAAATCCACATTCCTCTCCCCCAAGACACAAACATCTAGCTGCCATTTTGAGGACATATGTAGGACAATAGATGGTTTATCATATTCCTAATAATGGGAGGTGGTGGGTGGAGGTTATGTGGCAGGTGGTGGGCTAGGGTCATTTCCCAGGCATCAATCAGATGGACATTCAGTCCTTTGAACATGGCTCTGAGCACCTTATCACGCTGCAGCGAGTACCAGTCGCTATAGTTAATCGTCACATCTAACGTCAAAGCTTTGGGGTTTGCTGTCCGGATGACGACCAGCGTGCCTGGAGTCTTGTCCAGCAGCCGCACCACCGCCCTGCGGATGCTCTGCAGCCGCCGGATGTAGATCTCCATGGGGAAAGGTCCGAAGTGAGCCCAGATGGTAAAAACTACGACAATGTTGGGTTCTCCAACTAAGCCATCTAGCTCATTAGCAATGTAATGAAGCACTCTAATGTCCATGGGGGGAAAATGGATAGGAGGACCATGGGAGCGGTACGTCATCAAGATGTTGTTTGCATAGTCCAAGGACATGTGAGGTCCAGTTCTCTTCGGGTTGTGCAGGTCAAACTCCTCAAGACCTGAAAGTATGACAGGGGGAACACATTTAGCTGCAGTGGGAACAAAATCATTTGTTGCCAGAAATCCCTGTGGATCAGCTACCTGGTAGAGCTGCGTTGAGGAATTCATACCACTGCCTGATGGTGGAGTCTCCATACATGTGGACCACCTTGCCTTTCAGACACTGACTGATGGCAGACGCGCTGAATTCGCGGACTGTGGTGCGACCTAGTGCTCGCCACGCACCCTGGTAGTAATAACCAGAGGGTCCAGATGTCACAGTGCTGCTCTTCACCTGTCGTTGACCTGAGAGGAAGTTAAAGAATATGGGTGGGGTTACCCCATGAAAAAACAAAACCAAAGTATAAAGTGATTGTATGAACCTCTCAAGTACTATCCTTACTCCTGAGAGACTATAAACACTGCTATCAGCTGAGGAGAATGCTACCCAGAAGAATGTAGTACGCTTTGTCCTGAACTTTCTCATATGTTTTCTTCGTACGGTAAACTCGTACGAGTGTACCACAACAGATTCAGCAAACACTCCTCACTTCAGATAACCGTGTCAATGACCGGCGTAAACATGATGAATGCCACTTATGCATAAATGAGTGGGCATTCAAGAGAATTATACGTAACCCCAATAATACCATATATGTCCTATATTGAAGTCCTGCATTCAGAGATCCATAAAGAAAAGTCTCTAATTTTTAACAGCAAAGGACCTGCTAAAATCAAGGGATGGGATACAATAAATGTTATTGCCGTGTCACCTGAGGGTCGCACTGTCACTGAAATAAAGAAAAAATGGTTCCATATGAAAAATGTCTCGCCATTGATGACTGCAACGGAAAGGGGTCAAACTATTTAACTTGTTTTGCAGTATGAGATGGTCATATACTGTAGATATTGGAGTTACACAATAGCATCAAAAGCCAGTACAAATGAATGATGAAGTTAGGCTGTATGAATGCATTTAGAACTATATTAACCAATAATTTGAAATCGCAGAGGAAAATGTAAACATAATTATTAAGTGTAATTTATACAGGTATTTCAGACTCAATATTGACTGTTATGACAGTTCCGGACAACTGTTAAAAATAAACTCATACAAGCCACTAAAGAACAAATCTGTTTGTAAGTGGTTCTTGCATGAGGACCATTGTCTGAAACATATTTTGTTTTGAATTATTGTTATAGGACGTTGTGGCAGTAACAGTGATAAATTAAAATTCAATATCATGCTTTACCTTCTTTTTGTGGCAACACGGTGACATTAGCAGGTCCTGAAGCCCGAATGTAGACTTTCATGTTAACATCGCTGAAGAAAAGCACACATAATATATCTCTTAAAAACACTTCAACATTCAGGACATAGATACAAAAGGAGGGCAAACATTTAAAATCATTTAACCAAACTAGAAAAATCAAGCACTCAAACACAAATGGGAATCAACTGCTAGAAAGTTCATTCAAGATCACACAAAACTTACTTTGTAAATGTAATGGCACAAATTCAAATGTTCACAAAAGTAATGGGTCCAATGACGGTATCACGTTGAAGGTGCTTCACAGTGATGAACCCAGAGATAATGATTACTATCTACACAACGTTTTAGCATTTCATAGTTTGACGGCTGGCAAACTAAATTGTTTTGGTTGAGTCTCACCGTTCTCATCAACATATTTTATGGATGCAGCTCTTTCATGCTGATTAACCAATTGACCCGTTGGTTAGTCCTGCCAATCTAACGCAGACTGCTCAATCAAAGTGTAGCTTTGGCCAACTCTGACAAGTATAGGGCTCTGCTCTATAAACTCTAAATGCAATCCTTTCACAAGCCCTAAAAACTGCAGTTATTAAACCGCTCCTAAAGAAGGCTAGTTTAGACTCTGCAACAATGAAAAATTATAGGCCAATATCAAACCTCCCATTTTTAAGTAAAATAATTGAAAAAGCGGTTTTCCAACAGCTGAACAAATTCTTGGTCTTAAATAACTGCTTTGATATCTTCCAGTCAGGCTTTCGACAGCGCCACTGTACTGAAACTGCTCTTGTTAAGGTTTTCAATGACATCCACTTAAACAAAGACAATGGCAGAAGTTCAGTCTTAGTATTAGTAGATCTCAGTGCTGCATTCGACACGGTCGACCATGACATACTACTAGAAAGACTAAAAATCTGGATGGGACTTTCTGGCACAGCACTTAACTGGTTTGAATCCTACTTGAAGGACCGAGAATACTTTGTGTCTGTAGCTAATTACACATCAGAGCTGACTAAAATGACGTGGTGTTCCCCAAGATTCAACATTGGGGCCTCTTCTGTTCAACATCTACATGCAGAAATCTGGGTGTAGTTATGGATTCAGACCTCAACCTGAACAGCCATATCAAGACAATTACAAAATCAGCCTACTATCACCTGAAGAATATATCAAGGATTAGAGGACTTATGTCTCAACAGGATTTGGAAAAACTTGTCCATGCATTTATCTTCAGCAGACTGGACTACTGTAACGGTGTGTTTACAGGTCTCTGTAAAAAGTCTGTCAGAAAGCTGCAGCTGATTCAGAACGCTGCAGCTCGAGTCCTCACTAAGACCAGGAGGGTGGATCACATTACTCCAGTTCTGAGGTCTTTGCACTGGCTTCCTGTCAAACAAAGAATTGACTTTAAAATCCTGCTGTTGGTTTATAAAGCACTGAATGGTTTAGGGCCAAAATACATCTCTGATCTGCTGCTACCTTATGAACCATCCCGACCCCTTAGGTCGTCTGGGACTGGTCTACTTTCTGTTCCCAGAGTCAGAACTAAACATGGAGAAGCAGCGTTCAGTTTTTCTGCTCCACATATCTGGAACAAAGTCCCAGAAAGCTGCAGGTCTGCTGAGACCCTCGGCTCCTTTAAATCAAGATTGAAGACTTTTCTTGTTTGATGCTGCCTTTAATTGAACCAGATTCAATTACTATATTAATCAATTTCCTGCATTTCTGCATTTTACTACTGTATTTGACTTCTTACACTGTTTTTATTGTTTCAATGTATGTTCTTAATTGTTTTTAAATCTCCTTTGCTTTTGCCTTATGTTTTGATGCTTTTAATGGTTTTATGTGAAGCACTTTGAATTACCTTGTTGTTGAAATGTGCTATACAAATAAACTTGCCTTGCCTTGCCTTCAGATTTACTTCATTTTCAGGCTAGTTTTGTTGATTTGGAGCTAGTCATGGATAAACGTTGTGTAATAGTGAAACTCCTGGCCCAGAGAGGTTGGAAGGAGATATGCATTTCTAAAATGTTACATTTGTAGATTAAAACGTGTGGAGCTAACAACAGCAGAGTACTTTAGCACATGATTAACTCGGGTTAGGACATATGCTATGCTAGCTACTAAAGGTATGTCGTGCTCAAGGACACACCGACATGCGACTAGTGGAGCCGGGGATCGAACCGCCTATTCTCTGATCGAAGGACAATCCTGCTCTCCACTTAGCCACAGTTGCCCACTAAGTGAAGGGCAATTGTGCACTACAACCACTAAACAGCAGACAGACAATGTTAGCGACTAGCAAGTTGAACATAGCGGCACATTTAGATTAAGGCAGATATTTCCCCCTCGTCGGTGAAGACCAAAATACAGCTAAAAGGAGAAGAAATATTAGACACAACTCCAAATGAATGCTAATGTGTCTCCATGTCAACTGGTATTAAATAGGCCAGTGTTTGCTCACATTTTAGCCATATCCACTTGTTGTGCTGCTCCCAAGTGGCAAAAAAATAATAAGTGTGCATCTTAAAGTTTATGAAAAGACTACATCCAAAATAATATGACATCACAATGAATTTACAATAAAACAAAAATGAATCAAGGCAAATACTATCTAATGTTCCAAATGAAGGTCAACTAGTATGATTCAGACTGGTTTGTTTGTTTTGATTTGCATTACCTTTAAAACACTTTATATTCAATCTTAACCGCCTGTAGTTACAAACTTCTGAAACATTCCACCAAGGAGATACAAAGGTAACACTGGATCTGCATATTTAGAAGTCACACAAAATTCCAGTCTCTCTGCTCCCTCACCTTTGAAAGAGCTTCTCCTCATTGGAATTGAGGACCTTTTCTTTGTATCCTCCTTCGTAGTGGTTGATCCTGGCATCACAGCTCAGGTTCTTTGGCTTGGAGCAGAACCACGGCTCGCCTGTACGGAGGTCAGTGTAGTTGCACAGCGGCTGCTGGGTTGGCCTTAGGCAGACGTTACAGAGGGTGGTTTCAGAGAGTGAGCCTGAGTGGAAGAGGCTCTTGTAGTAAATCCTATTGGGCTGTTCTCTGTTCAGCCTTTTCAGAACTGAGATGGCTTCACCAGGGTGAACCAGAGTCACCTGATGGGATAGAGAACCAGAGTTTTCACCAAGTCCAATCATGGTCAGTCATATCAATACAGACAAATACATTGCATACTGCTTGAAGCTTCACACGTCACATTTATAAAGATTCATGTCTTCAAATTCTGCACCAGATTGACATCAGACCATAATCTCTATAACATTGTCTATTCATTTAAAGCCTTCCCTGAACAACAATTGTCCAATCAAAGCTTAGCAACAGTACCTAGGCATGGCAGGTCTGTCAAGCTCTAAACATGTTGAAGTGGTGTGCATGGGACTATAGCAGGAGAGATACTCTGCATTTAAGTGTTTAGAGAGGGAGTTTTTTGAACTTGTTCAAAACGAAAAAACACAAGAAAAACAGTTCTATAAATCAAGGGAATTAATTCTGTTTGTCTGCTTTCATGTAATCTGCTAGTTTTAGCATGAACATCTGACCAACTGGCTACCTTCATAACCTGACAACCAACATGACATAATAACCTAGCCTTACTTCCAACACCAAGGAGTATGTAGAGGTTAGGTAACAATATATTTTCTAAAGTTACCTTCAGAACTAGCACATCTACTGTGTAGTATTTCCCCAATATGTGTGAGCCTCCTGGCTGCTGGCTGTTCGAGACTAAATTAACGTTGGCAGTGCTGTTTCATTGGATTTAAAACTCCAGCCAATCTTGATATCTGAGACGTTATGTGCACCATCCACATCAGCCAAACAAGATTATGTTAGCATTTTTTAATCATAATTATAACACTAGGACTAACTAGGTAGCTACAGTTAAATAAATCTGCTAGTGACAGTTTGCAGATGAAAAAAAATCTACAATCATGAGAACCTGCTTCAGTCTGAAATTAAAGAGTCTGAAATGACTGAGATTTTGAGTCATAAATCTGTCAGCTGAACAAACTGCATATGTGCTGTGCGAGAAGTGGAAGTTAACAGGCATAGCAACAGTTAGGGCAGGGCTTCGTGAACAATGAATTATGATATTAAAAACACTTACAATACCATTACATTAAACATCATGGTTTTAGCATCACCTCAACCTGTGCATCTCCTTCCCAGAGTAAAGAGAATACAGCAGAGTAGCTCCCATTCAGATGATCCACCACTTGCCCAGCCACACCTGCTTCAAGGTTCCGGTTGTGCAGACTGGCGAGTAGGAAGTCCCCCCCAGACTTCTTGGGACGACCCTGGAAGTCAGAGGTTTGTATCATGACCTCCAGCTGATCCCCTACATGCCACTGTCCCCCTTTCCTCCCTGGTAGAATGGTGAAGGTGCTGTGGGCTGGATCAGTGGTCTGCTCCAGGGAAATAGGAGCTGACAAAAGTGGAGTTTCAGGCCAAGCAGTGGAGTCTAGTATGAGACGTTCCTCCAGAGCGTCCTCAGGGGACAGTGGCTTGAAGGTGCAGAAGCTGTGAATCATGTTAGGGTGAGTGGAGACTCTCGGCATGATGATGGTGGAGTTGAATTTAGGCTGAAACTGGCAGTGGGTCGAGAGAGATGGTGTCAAAGATACATCAAGCATATGCACTGAAAAAAGAGTAAAATGGCGAAGAATTTAATAATTTTTTGGGTTTGTTAACAACTGTTGCTGACATTAACCCAGGGGAAAAGTTTCAAGATACTCTTGCTTTCTGTTTTACACAAGGCAAGAAAGTGAATGTTAAATTCAAAGATTGTTTTTGGTGTGTGATTTCAAGGTTTTGTTCACTGAAATTCATGTTTTGGGATATTCAGTCAGAGATACAACAGATGCAAAAGGCAGAAAAAAGGCAGAAAATAGAACCCGTTACAAAAACTTTCATGGGGCTTTTTTAAAACGATATACTTCTGACCCTTTTGTTAAGATGTATGTCTCAGTAAGAACGAATGGGAACCAGTGGGTTGTAACACATGGAGGTTTGGTCTAAAGTATAGAATACTGCCAGCTTTGTCCTTTAACTACAGGAGCTGCTGCTGTCATCAAGTCAAGGTGCAGGATTGAGAGGGAAAATACAATTGAACTCAAATTGTATTTATTTGCAATGAAGACCATTAAAACACATTTTAAAACAATATCCAAAAACCTGACTAATATTCAACATTTCAAACAGGGTCCACCCTTCACACGATCCCACTAAAACCAGTTTCTCACCTCCAGAATGTCCATGTGACGTAGCACAAAGATTAAGACAAAGACAGTCAGAAAGACGAAGAGGGCGCAGATCTCCCTTCTTGTACAAAATGTGGCCTTCATTGATCAGTGATTTGTCTTCACCTTCAGCATCAGTTACTGGATTGAGAAAATATATATTAAAAAAACAAATGGTTATTGACACCTTGTAATGCTGAAGAATATAACTTGTGAATGAAGAACTTGTTTAAATCTGAACTCAGTTGTGAAATCCTCCCTCTCTATACTAATAGTGTGACATGTTCAGCTTTCAATCTTTAGGACCAAACTAAATCCAGTCACCCAGGAAACTCCTCTGATTGATCATCCGTCAACCAAGGCCACAACCAAAGACAGCATCCCCTCTCTTGCTGTTCAACATGATCCATTCTATCATGTACACTTCGCAACATCATTCAGTCCTTTGTAATCCACATCACCCTCTGCAAAGTAACCCTTCAAACTAATATCTGTTTTCACTCTCATTATACAGATCAGAGGTGGTCGTGTCTTTCTGCTCACTACAGTTTTGTAGTTGTTCTACAGTTGTTCAAATCTGGACAAATTTTATTTTCAGTTCTTTTTCATGATTACTATGACTAATAACTGCAGTATTGATTGTATGTGTTCCCGAAAAGGATATTGCGGAGGGGACATGGAGAAGAAGAAAACAAATCAACTGTTGAAGAAAAAGAAAAAAGAGCAGTACATTTACGAGATCTCGCTAGTTAGATGAGATATCGCAAAAGATGTCAGGTGACAAAAAAAAACAACGACCCAAAAAAACCTGTAATGTAGGCAACATCTGGATCAGTTGGGCACCATAGAAACTAACCACAACAATGGAGCGCACACACCTGTGGGAGTAGTGCATTTTTACCATCTGAAGCATTGCATAGCTCTGAAACAGCTGTGGCAATCACAATTAAACATGATAATGTCAGCTCAGCAAACTGAAAGCTTTACCTCATGTCTCGATGGTTCAGAGCATCGCGGCATTAACACAATACACACATCACCACAAAGATAGAGATAATGTGAGTCAAGGCTACAGCATGAGGCGCAACCTTTGTTAAAAATGAAAGATGGAAGGCTCTGATGCTGATGTAATCAGACCACAGCGTCATCCACAAGCAGACTGTATTTGTCATAACCGGTTAGACCAGTCTGCTGTGTGTAGAGGTCAGTATGATTATAGCCTATACTGATCAGCCTTTTGTTTTCATGCAATTTAATTAATGAAGGTTAACACAGTGGACGGCCGTGCTAATGGCACTTCGCTCTGCGCAGTACTTCTCACAGATTTATCAAAAATATTTGTGCCCTCAGATGCTGCAGGGACTTCATGAACTGAAGGAGCTTTTCATACAGTAGCCTATAAAGCAGCTGTAGTAAGCAGATACTGTCTGAGTCACCTACATTCATTCATAGAATGATGCAGACTGATTTAGGCCCCAAATGTAGGCCATACAATCAGTCCTATTTTAACCACAGTGTTTCCATCCATCCATCCATTTTCCTCCGCTTATCTGGGGTCGGGTCGTGGTGGCAACAGGCCAAGCAGGCTGACCCAGACTTCCCTCTCACCAGCAACATGTTCCAGCTCATTCTGGGGGATCCCGAGGCGTTCCCAGGCCAGCTGGGAGATGTAAACCCTCCAGCATGTTCTGGGTCTTCCCCGGGGTCTCTTCCCAGTTGGACCGGCCTGGAAAACCTCCAGTGGGAGGCGTCCAGGAGGCATCCTAATTAGATGCCCGAACCACCTCAGCTGACTCCTTTCGACGCGAAGGAGTAGCAGCTCGACTCGAAGCTCCCTCCTGATGACCGAGCTCCTTACCCTATCTCTAAGGCTGAGCCCGGCCACCCTACGGAGGAAGCTCATTTCGGCCGCTTGTAGCCGCGCCTTGTCCTTTCGGTCACGACCCAGAGTTCGTGACCATAGGTGAGGGTAGGAACGTAGACCGAGTGGTAAATTGAGAGCTTTGCCTTCCGGCTCAGCTCCCTCTTCACCAAGACGGTCCGGTGCAGCGCCCGCTTTACTGCTGCAGCCGCACCGATCCGTCTGTCGATCTCCCGCTCCATCTTACCCTCACTCGTGAACAAGACCCCGAGATACTTGAACTCCTTCGCTTGAGGTAGGCACTCCGTCCCCACCTGGAGGGAGCAATCCACCGGTTTCCGGCAGAGCACCATGGCCTCAGATTTGGAACCAGTGGTTCCAAATCAGTGGTACAACAGTGTTTGATTGAATTAAATATTTTTTATCTTAAGCATTAGTCCCAAGGGCGGAGGCATATGCACAGTATGGACGCGTCCCTACCAATATTTTGGGAGACCGAATCGTCTCTACCAATATTCAAACTTCTGAAATAACGTTCGCATTATCTCTGGAGTGGAAAGATACACACGCACAGAGAGAAAGAGAGAGGAGCAGAATCTCTTGTTGATCGATGCGGAATATTGCGCTTCTGGTGTGATCATCATGGCCGTAGCCAGGTATGAGGTCACCGAGGTATTTATTTCCTAAAAAGCCCACCGCCTCTCTTCATTTGAATGACGCTTGAAACTGACAGCCATCAGTAAGACGGCTACCTGTGGTGGTGAGGTGACTGGAGAAGCCATGTGGCTCACCGCGGCGTCTCCATTGCGCTCTGTGCGCCTGACAGCACATCTGTGGTCACTGCAGCAATTTAACACTCAAAAACTATATGAAAACTGAAACTGTACTTGGTGATATATGCACAGTATTAGAAGATATTATCATTGTCGCTCTATTGTGCCATTATTTCATGCTATTTGATGTACTCTTGGATTTCTACAACCGATGATGATAATTTAATCAGCTGATTCACAGCTGACTACGAGCGTCTGTAGCACACAGCCCTCCCTCTCCTCTGTGCTCCGGAATGTGATGGTGAGACAGTACTGATGAAATATCTCATTAGAGATTTGAGTTGGCTTATATCTTGTACAGTTGAAAGGTGCTTTTGGAATAATTATGGCTCACTAGCACAAGCACAAATAACTTTGATTTGTTTGTGTCTCTATTTCTGTTTGAATGTTATGATCAAGTGAATATAGCCTGCACTTTATCAGAAGTGGTGAAGTTAACATTTATTTGGACAACAAGACACACAATAGTGAGATTTACTGTATGCCTTATCAAAAGTGTTTTCTATTAGTTTTAGTTTTACGGGGCAGATGAGGACTAACAGACTGACGTCAGACTGGTTTGTCCCGTGCTTCAAGTCAAATCACTCTCAGCTCTACTGACTCTACTGTTACAGGTTCATAATAGTGAGACTACAGCCATGGTGTCAAAGAAACCAGATAATCTGATCTCATAGACGTTGAAAATCCCAAATCTCGTGAATACTCTGCTCAGTGTTCACATTGAAATATCCTGTTACAAAAACTGTTACTACAGCAATGTGCAAACACAAGAGAACAAGAAACACAAGATGAAGATTAATTTAGTTCAGCTTTCAGATACTGCAGTATGAGCTTGGGGAAGATATAATATAATAATATATTATTCTAAAATGGGCCTTCTGCATTATGAGCATCTTTGCTTGAAGTACTTGAGGTATATTTTGATGATAATACTTTTGCAATTTTACTTCCATCAAGTTTTGAATGCATGATTCTATAAACTGGTCATACATCTTTAACTTTATGTAAATCTTAAATCAACAAAGTATCCAATAACTACAGTCGAGTAAATGTAATGTAATGTACAAAGCACAAATTTCCCTCTGAAATGTAGCGGAGCAGAAGTATTAAGTAGCATATAACAGAAGTAGTAGAAGTAAAATAAAATGTCACAAATACAGTATATTACAATGGTTACTGATGCTGATTCATGATAAAATTTAACTTCATATATACTTTGTTTAAGCGTTTCATGTGTCTTACCTCAGCAGAGATTCATTTGGAGATTCTTTTCATCACAGTGCGATCCGTCACTTTATCTCACTTGTTTTTAAATAAGCGTTCTCTTGACTTTCAGGATTAATTTAAGAGTAGTGACAGCAAACAACACTGCATGATGAATCACTGTCACAGCTAAAGATATACATAGAATCTCATGTTGATGACGCCTTCTCTTCTTAACCACTCCCATGTGCCAAAAGAGCACAGAAAAAAGCAAAGAATAGGGGCTTCTCTGTTGGAGCTTTAACATACCTAAATTGAAACAATACTAAAAAAAAGAACATAAAGTGTCCTCAAGCTTTTCTTAACCTTTGTACTCTGACTGTCACTTCCATCTAAATAGCTAAAAGTTTATTTGATGTGAAGTATGGAAGATTGAAACTCCCTAAATTAAAACAAATCAAATTACGATATGAAGTTAAATGGATATAAATATGGTTATATGTATTTTTTGGATGCAATACCTCTTATAACAGCAGCATACCACTCCAGGGATAGGTACCAACCACTGAACAACAGTAGCATACCACTCCAGGGATAGGTACCTACCACTGAACAACAGTAGCATACCACTCCAGGGATAGGTACCTACCACTGAACAACAGCAGCATATGTGAGGAATTAAAGTTAAAAAAGCATTTTTAGTATGATTAAAAGCACACCTTGAACAATATATTAGATGTCACAATATGTTTACTTATGGAATGTATTATATGTTTATAATATATTTACTTCTAGAAGTGTTAAACCATAAAAGCATAATCATTGAATGACTAAAAGTATAGTCACTGTATGTATTAAACACTGTAAAGAATAGTCATGAGGGAGAGTGAGGGATTATTGAGTGAGGCTTGCAGGGACGATCATATGAGGTGATGAAGGAGCTTGCAGAGAGCCGGCATCAGGAAGGAAACAGGAGGTGGTCAGGCGAGAAGGGCCGACCTTCAGAGCAGAGGGCAGGAGGAGTCCGAAGGAGGTCAGCCAATCACTGAGCTGATATGGGACAGTCAGAAACACTTTGGACTTAAAGACACTGTTTCACTGGAGAGCCTTCAGAACTCACGGCGTCCATCTTATAGCTAACCGAATTTTATCGGACTATTGGGAGGAACTTGTGTGGTCTCTGCTCCTGGGAACATATTACTATCGATAGTGTAATTCAGTTTGTAACTGTTTTAGATTCAGTTAATTATTAAATACTTTTGATTATAACCCGAACCAGCTGAGTTTTTTGGCCCTGCTACGCTGAAGAGAAACGCAACAGCTGGGCCACCCGCGGCCTTCCATTGTTCTGAGAAGTTTTCACCTCCACACATACCACTCCAGGGATATGTACCTACCACTGAACAACAGTAGCATACCATTGGCCACTTTTGGATCTTGGCGCTACTATTCTGAGGTTATCCTCATGAGTTCAGTTAAGCCGGTCATTAAAAATGTTATGATTTCATTTGTTTTCTTCTAAACATGCAGTACATTGTGAATTTTGTGATGTAATACAAATGTCCCTTTATTATTTGTCTTGAGAACATGTATTAAACTCAGTGGTGGCTGGTCAATAGAGGGGCACTAGGGCGCCGCCCCCCCTTGAGCAACAAAAATAATAATAATAAATTATACAAATTGTCAATATTTGTGTTTTTGAAACATGGAATCAGCCAGTAATATGTGTAAAATATGATATCTGCGCAGAATATATGCTTTTCCTGCACGTCCTCTCCGCCTGTCTGCATGTCTCATGCATGTCGCTGGAGAAAGCGCCCACAGGAGGCGGGTCTATGAAGCAGGTTAGCCAATTGCTGATTAAAGATATCAATGTGTGACATACAATTTAGCCAATCAGTGTACTCAAATAGTTTCAGCATGCGTGTCTCCCTCAGGAATAGTCTCTACAGGCGAGTGCGAGCACGAGCACTATTCCTGCAAGACCCGTTTGAGAGAACTTTGGCAGAGAAACTGCAGTGAAAGAGCTGATCCCAGATCAGCCTGAGACAGCAGACTAGCGTGAAAGGGAAGCAGTACATGCAAAGCTTCTCTACTAGCTGTACACCAGAAAGGTTTGGCTAGCTGGATGCAGTCATGCTAATGACTTATTTAGCTTTTTAAAACAACGGGGACAGATCCAGCATGGACAGTTATGGGAGTGAGGGATGAGGAAGTAAGGAGACATGAGAAAACCAGGGCACACATGGATAACTCTGTCAAGCTAGTAATACTAGGCAAAGTGAACATATTTTCTTCTACATAGTTGTCCTCTGTCTCATTTGCTTAACCTGGTCATGAAGGCATCAACATTTAATTGAGTAAATGAAAATGTGTATTTGTTGTGCTTAATTTCTTTGTTTGATTTGTTTCAATTGAGACACTTTAAGTCTTCCATACTTCACAGGAATATGTTGTGCAAATTACAAGAAAGGCCCATGCTCATAGGACTCAAATCTTAGTGGCCATTATTGCTTCTTTATGGACTGATTATCAGTCTGTACTACTGTCAGGATACAGTGACAGTTTGAGCAAATATGACAAAAGCGTCATATTTATTCAAGTTAATGACTGTACCATTTAATACTGGACGCAAGAGCTAAATCATAAGTTTAAAAATAAG